AATTCATCAAGACATGCCCCTTCATGAGCTTTTTTTTCACCTCATCGAAAAGAAAAATCAAGTTTACCATGATTCTTCCTGCTCGCTGGAACTTTCGTGTCAAATTTAATTTTACTAAACAAAGGCATTGTAGACCAACTAAAAAAGCAGAAGATTCCCGCCAAAAAAACTTGTGAACGTAAAAAATTTGCTCCCTCTACAACGTTTTTTAAAGTCTTTGAAAAAGGAAACTGAATCGTTTAAAAAAGCCCCCTGACTTTCCCGGTAAACACCCAAAACCCCTATGAACTGACCAAACAACGATGGCTCCCTTCCTTGTCCCCCCCGGCAGCCCCCTATCATCATTCAAATTGCAGTAATCCTCCCTCCCGCAAAGATGCAGCCCCCGCCTGCTGGGGTTCCTGGTTTCCTTTTACATCGCTTCCCTCAGTGTTTTTTGAATACATTTTTCCCTCTACGCCTCCAATATTAGGTTCCACATGTCCCCCCAAATGGTTGGGGCCCCTTGCCCTTTTTTCTCCCCTTCCCCTTTTTTCCCATTCCTTTTTCCCGTTATTTCCATTTCCCTTTCCCTTTTCCTTTCTTTTTTTCCCCTCTTTCGACAAGGTTCGTCGTCCTCGATTCGATTCGACTCTACATTTGGGAGAATTATAAAAAAACCACAATTTTTATTTTCTAAACAGTTTATTTGTAGTAGGGAAGTATTAGTTTGTTTTAAAATTTGCATTAGTAGTTTGTCAGGGAGTATCCCGCAGCGTGTTGTTTAGTAGTACTATATCCCAAAATTTTAGTTGTTGTATTAGTATTAGTTAAATAATAGGGGCCCGTTTTAAACCCGTTTGTAGTATTAACATTCAAACTTTTTTATGTGGGCCAGTAAGGGAAAAGATGAGGGAGCTGCCGGGAAAAAGTAGTGGGGCGCTGGGTGGTGATGGTGGTAGCGTGAGTCTGGTGAAGCAAAGCCAGCCTAAATGGTGGAGACACAGGGAAAGGGGTAGTCCCCTTTGGGGTGGGGGGGTCGAAAAGGGGGGATCTTTCTCCTAATTTTGGGTTCCCTTGCCCCCCCCAACGGCCCGCCTTACGGAATAACCTTTAAACAAAAAATAAAATAAATAAATTTTAATATAAAAATAATTTTAAAATTTTTTTTTTTTTTTTTTGGGGATTTTATTTTTGTATTTTATTTTAATTAATTAATTTTTGGGGTTATATATATTAAAATGTTATATAATAATTTTTTTGGGGTTTTTTTAATTAAATTGGAAAATTTTTTAATTATTTATTATTTTTATTTATTTTTTTATAAATTAATTATGATTTTAATATTAATTTAAAGTGGTCGGAAAAAGGGGAATTGGATTTTGGTTAAAATAAATTTTTTTTCTTGCCCCCTTTGGACAAAGGGGAAAAATTTTTGGTTTGGGTTTTTGAAAATCCCCCGAAAAACCCCAACCCAAAAATATAAATTTTACTGGGGGTTTTTTTGTTTAATTTTGCCCTCCCCCTTTTTTGGGTTTGGGTTAAGCTTTTGTTTTGTTTAATCCCCCTTAGGGTCCCCGTTTTAAGGTTCCCCTTTTGGGGCAAAATTAAAAAACTTTAAAAAAAAGAAAAAAAATATAATTTTTTAAGGTTGGGTTTTTTAGAAAAGGGAATTAAAAATATGAGTTTTGTCTTTGGGGTTTTAAAGGAGGGGGAATAAATAATAAAATTTTCTTTTTTAATAATTTCTTTTTTTTTATAATCTTTTTTTTTTTAAAAATTAAAAATTTTTAATTAAAAAATAAAAAAATATATTTTTAATTAAAAAATTTTAAAAATTAAAATTTTTTAAAAATTTTTATAATTTAAGATTTTAATATTTAAAAATATATTTTTATATAATTTTTTATTTATCTATTTTATAAAAATTTATAAAATTTATATTATATATATACAAAACAATCTAAGGTTTTTCTTTTAAAAGGCAAAAA